AAGGCAATCCATCTACGTCCTGAGGACCTCGCTGCCACCGTCCAAGCGTGCTTGGCCCCGGCAGATGAACCTCAGGATTAAAGGGTGGGCTCAGTTCCGCGCACACTGTGTCTCACCTAAAAAATCCAATGCGCAGGCTGGAAGGTGGAAAGACCTTCCCCGGTTCTTCGTTCGCGAAGAGACTGGCCATTCATTCAAGTACCAGCAGCTGCAATGTGGCTGTCTCCCCATGGGTTTACATTGTCAAGTGTCACCAAATGGGCAGATGAGAGGTCCAGGGCCAGCTAATGAGCAGAGCGTCTATCTAGGCCAGCTACTGGGGATTCAGATAGCATGTTTGTATTTATAATTTTTTATTAATAATCTGTCAGTCTGATCAGCCAGTGACAAGACTAAAATGCTGCCACTGGTGCTGTTTACCTGTGTGTGAGCACTGTGCCCAGTCTGTGCTGCTCTTTGTGTCTGGCCATGTGTACATGTGCATATAATTACGGAATGAGGAGGCCTGCTGGTAATATCTGCCCAGTCTCAATACCTGGAGGACCTGGGGGCATGTGTCAGTCTTGCCTGGACTAGGCTACGAGTCCAGCAACTCCTAAGAATTTTGCATACAGTTGTGTCTGTGGGGCTGCATAGAACAGATAATTTGCATTCGTGGGCTTACACAAATGCTGTCTTGGCCAGGTGAAACTACAGGGATCTCAGGAATATTTGTGCAAGAGGGAAAAGGAGAAAACTAGGAGGTGCTGGAACAAGAGAGAAACTGGAGCAGTAATGACCATAAAAACAAGCTAGATAGAAAGGAGAAAAGCATGTAGCTCATTTAAAGAGGCTAGGGACTTCCATTAATTTTATAACTGCCCCAGTTGCTTTCGCTACTGGAGTAGAATACAGAGTAAAGAGCAGTTCCATTACCTGTAAAAGTAACGTGCCTGGCTTTTCGTCTAGTGGTCTGGCTGGGGCCCTGAGGCAAAGAGAGGTAGCGTACTTCCGTGGTGTTAACCTGTGTATGAGACAGAAGTGTCTTCAGTGCTCATGACTGCCTCCACCTGGCATTTATTTGGTGGAATGGCAAAGAGGGATGATTATATGCTGCACTTTTAAAGCCAGATTTTGAGAGGTATGAACAAGGTGAATGCTTGACTTGGATGGCTGAATTCAACGTCATTTCCAGTGAAAGTGTCTGTCTGATATAATAGTCCTAGAGGGTTTTTTTATAGTCAGCAGAGAGAAATATGTTCTTCTGAGATTCACCTTTCCTATTTCAGGTGACAAATTGAAATAAAACTAATCTATTCAGCAAAAAGTTATTTCTTTTCCTGAACTGTGATTATCTCAGGTGTAAATGTCTATGCTGTCCAATGCCTACATTTGGTCAGACAAATCTCTTATTGATCGAGAGTCCAAACTGTCAGTGCAAGGTGTCAAGGGCTTGGTATCGGGCTTTTTTTGATTATACTCTGTTTTGCATATGCAAATCCAATGCAAGTTACATTATTTTACTACATACAGCCAGAGTAGCTGATCTCTGACCAATGTATAGAGGTAGGACATAAAAACATTGTTGTTCATGTGCTAAGTGAACCTCTTTCTTCTTAGGTGCTGCGTGAGCACATTGGGGAAAGTACCCATTTTAATTTCAGCAAAAAGCTTAAAAAAATGTGTATCTCTTTCCATATTTACAGATAAGCAGAGGCATTTTTACATAAATGAGAGTTTACACAATAGGTACCGGTCTACTCCAGGGCAAGCTGTTTCCCTTTCTGCAACTCTGCCTCAGGCTGTGCTGCCGGCGGATGAGGATTTCTTGCGCTTGTGTCTCATTTATGTTGGTAGGTAGGTTGTGTCGGTTGTATGGTGGTGCCTGAAACAGAAAGTGCACTCAGCTGATTTTTGTTGCATTTGCAATGTTAATAATTCTGGTCAGTCATAGGGCCAAGGGTACATCTGTCTCAGCTCAGGCACCAACTGATCTCTTTGCTAACACGTGGGAAAATGCAGCCTTGCACAAACCTCACTGCTGCACAGTAAGATGGGAAGCATGAACACAGCTGTAAGTCTCATACCTCAAGGGTTGCATTTTGATGCCATTTTTGGTGAACTCTTGCCTGCTTGAAGTGCAGGTGTATAAAAATACAGCCACCTGTTAAAGAAGGCTGTTAACATCTCTGGATTTATCCTCCCTTTGTCATCCCTTCACACAAATTGGGAGCTACAGGTATGAGGCAGGTTCTAAAAAAGAGATAACTGGCTAACTCACCTCTGAGCTTTGGTACTAATATTACTGAGCCAGAAGCAAGTTGCAGATGTGATCAGGAATGAAGAATACATCTCCAGAATCAGATGCACAGCTGAATTCCCTTTCCATACTTGAACAAACTACAAATTAATATTACCCTAAAACTGAGCATCATTTAAGGCAAACTTTTTAATTTATCACATACATCTAGTGAAATGGGGGAAATAATTATCTGCCTTGGAGAGAAAAAAATCACTAAAGTTTTTAAGCCGTCTTAAAAAGCAGAATCTAATCTCAGTCTCATTTGCAAGGCTTCTTGTAAAGGGGCTCTGGTGAGGCAGAGCATTACCAGGCCTTCAGAGCTGAAAGGGAAGTATTAGAAATGGCATTATTTTACTTCCAATCTTCCATTTCCAAAACCATGCAGTTCTCAACACTACATAGGAAGCAACTGGTTCAAATAATTATTACTGTAATTGATTTTGAAGAGAGAATTCATTTCAGTAATCTGAGATAACCATATATGCAAATTGTTTCTGGTAAGATAAGAAATTAATATCATAAGGATAATTAGCCAGGGAAAAATCAAACAATGTTAGGAATGAATATCATGTTAATAATGCCACATTTAAATGACCAGGCCCTAGCATTTCCTCGTATACGTGTCTCAGACAAGTTAGCCCCACTTTTTGGTGTCATTTCAAGGCTGCTGTAATATATTCTCTATCACTCGTTTCTGTGGGTGAGTTGTCTATTCAGTGCCCAAGATTGGGTTAAGTCGATACTAAACACGGGGCTGCATCAGGATCAGTACAAATTTCTGGAAAACAAATCCCTACTGAGGTATTATCACGCCACCTTTATGGGGGCAAAGAACACTATGTGAGTAAAGTGGAGCTACAGGAGGACGTGGGTGCGGGTGAGCAGCTGCTCCCACGCAGGGCTGCGCAGCGTTGAGCGCCGCCGGTCCGCCCACCCGCGCAAGGGGAGCCCCGCCAGCCGCGGCCGCCCACGGCCCGGCAGCCCTCCCCGAGCGCCGGCAGCCCGGGCAGCCTCGTGGAGGCGGCTTCCCGTCCGGATTGCTGTGCAGCGAGGGAAGCCTGACCTCTACAGCTCAGTCACAGATTTTCCTGGCTTTTCGCGCTGCTGTCGGGGTGAAAAGCTGATGTTAAAAAACGGGGCCCAAGCCCGGGCTTTTTCGCTCCATCCCTTTCCCGGGCAGGTGCCGGCTCGGAGCGGCTGCGGGCTCCCACCAGGTGCCCCTGGGGCCGGTGCTGGTGCTGCGTGCGGGGAGGGCAAACAAGAGCTCTGGGTCTGCAAACAGTGCGCGGCAGCCGGTGGCTCACACACCCTTTGTCGCACTTGGTACAGATTGTGTGCCAGGACATCTCGCATGGACTCCACCTCCGCGGGGGACAGCCTGTGTGGACGCCGGTTCCTGCCACTCCTGTAAATAAAAGGGAACATTAAATATGATGTTAATGAGCTGATTAAATACTAATCCCATGAAATAACAGTCTATTTTAAATGCTAGAACAGAAGGTTACAAAGAGCTTTTCAGTGACCAGCAACACCAGAAAATCATCCAAAGATGAATACAAAAAGGCAAACTTTGCTCTTTCACAGATTTTTATCCTTATGGTGGGTAGTCAGATTGGGCCCTAAACCTCATACTACTGGCAGCAGAAACTCTTCTCTCTCTAACCCTCATAAGGAAGTTCCTATTTAATAATTAGATTGGGCCACAACCAGCTGTACATTCAGGAAGGCACTGCAAGTTTACTCTTGTCTGAATAAAGACCTCAGTCTTGGTTTTGCCATCCTACTGGTTGCAACTCCTTTGAGAAAGTGCAGAAAATCCCTAAGAACTAAAGGATATGCCAGCTGAGGAGCCTGAAAGACCTGCTGTGTGGTGAGGAGAATGTATAAGGTTTCCTGACTGATGAGCCTGTTTCCCCTTTTGAAATGAAAGAACTACCTAAAAGATAATCATCTTTGTATTTTTTAAAAAAAAACTTTGACAAAGCCCACTGTCACTTGTAGCTGCCCCGTTTTTTCACTGGCAAAACAATAGAGGCGGGCTGCTGTGAGGTGTTAACTGGTTTTGTTACGTCAGTCAGTCTCTGTGAGAATTAGTGTTCAGATGAATTCCCAGGAAAAGAAAGGGAAATAAATAGTGATCATCCAGGATGAATCAGTCTCAGTTCATCTTGTTGTTTCTATTTGTTGTTTTTTTTTCTTTCTCCATTTTGCTTTCCTGCCTTTAAAAAAAAACCAAACAAAACCCCCAAAGAAACAAACAAACAAAGTGATTGCAAATCCTTGTTTTCAGCTAAGTGGTGTCCTTTAAGTGTTGTCTGTTGTTTGTGCAATTAAAAAATTGATCATGATCAATGTCCAGTATTGCCAGAGCTTTGTGCGCATTTATTTCATACTTCCTCTAAAATAAATTAAAGACCTTTAATGGCAAAGGAAGATGGATTCAGGGTAAAATGGGTCTGAGATTATGCTGTAAACATAGGAAAAGTACTGGAATTTGCAATTACAGCTACTTTGACAGTACTACCACTGTTTTGTTCTATGATATATCATGAACATCTTGAAAACCTGTAGGACCAACATGAACTGCCTGGATTTTACATTTTACTGTCTCTTACCATCAAGTAGACAGTGAGCCCTGGTGTCCTGGTCCTGTCCAAAGTCCCTGGAATATCAGACTCAATTTCTGATATATTTCAAGGTGCTGGAATGTCTTTTCGTTCTGCATCAGACTAAAACTGAATCTGACAATTTTTTTGTCAAATAAAAACTAAGAGAGAAATTGACAGTAGTGAAGGTATAGAGCTAGGACATACACGACGATGCCAGCACAGAAGTGGCCAGTTCTAAGTCTTTTAAAAGCTTATTATTTTGCTTCTAAAGTGAATTAAATAGAATAAATAAAATTCCCTGGGTTTCAGTTAAGCTGGGGTAGCAAGAGAAAAAACAGCATGAAGATAATCTGTATTGTTCTGGAGCACAAATAAAAAATGTGTATTCTTTTCATGGGATTGTATATGAACCTACACAACAGATAACAATGCACGTATATAGAAATAAGGACCAGATTGCTTTTACAATGTGCAATATAGAATACATTAAAAAAGAACTTTAAAAAAACCCAAAGACGTTTTTTACCCATAAAGTAATCCTTACTGAAAGTATTTCTTTGTTCTTATGGAAACTTCCAACATGTTACAACAAAGCATAGCACAGGAGATATAGTTGTGAAGAAAAACCCTGAATTTACAATATAGCATGAAAACTGACTGTGTCTCTGTAATGAGTAACCTGACAGTACTTCTTTCTTTAGATGTGATGTATAGTTGATACGATACACTGATACTTGATACATTGATACCTCCACAAATGGTGTAATATTATTTTTATATATTATATCTGAAATTTTGAACTTTGTAAACTGCTCACCAAGTTTTACTAGTCCTGTGAAGGAACTAACATTCAACAGGCACAGCTCTCTCACAACTGCACCACCACAAATGACAACACAACACTTGGTTCTGATTTGTACTGTATTGATTTTACCGAAGTCAGTATTGCACCAATATGAAGCCAACAATAAATAAGCTCAGCATCAAACCATCTTTCTCTCTAATGAACATGTCCTCCAAAAAACAGCCATAAACCAACAGCTTTGATAATATCGGTATGACTCTGCTTTTGCCATTTGTCTCCTTGTTTCTAAGGCTTACATTCTCCAAAACATCATAACCGATTGCTCTATTTTCATTCAAATATGGATTCTTTGTTGCACAATCCATAGGCATGTTTTTTCAGTATGCACTGGAAATACTTGCTGCACATTGGACGCCCACTCCAACTGCGGGAATCACACCAGCATGAATGCAATTTTGCTAATTCACAGCAATGGAGATCTGCTTTGATTCTTGTAATGCAATTCCCCTTGTGTACATTAGGGCTGCAAAACTGATCAGAAGTGCAGGTGAGAGTTTTCTCACTCCTCTGGCACTGCTAATAATGTTTTACATGCTATACACTGGAATTTTATTTCAAACCTCGTCTTGTTCATGGCCAGAGTTTGTATCCTCACAAAAGACAGGGATTTTAGGTACAAGCTATCTCAACAATAACAATCAGACATTCTCTAAATACATTTAGAAACCTTTTACATAAGTTCACTTAGTTGCTCAGCAAAATGGTGACAAGAACTTCTACAGTGGCTCAGACCAAAGATCCAACAATTAGCTCACTATCCTGTCTCATGAAATGCTCCTGACAGCAGACATCTATCAATTAACAGAGTTGGGAAGACATATCTTTTCATAGAACACTCATAACCTGTGAGAGTCAGAATATTTCTCAGCCACAGGATGGGATTTAAGTTTACACTTCACTTTTAAAAAGGCTTTTTCAGTAGGAGAAGCTGTGCATTTCAGAGGATGATGCACAGTAAAATCCAATTATAGTCAGAATAGAGCTGGCAAAAATTACTCCATCATATCAGCTGTTTATTATAAAACATTTTTCAATCAAAATTCTCTGCTCAGAAGAGAATTTCTGAACCACACTGGAGCAATTTGTTTTATTTTCTCTCTCCCT